TTCGTTCGTTCGTTCGTTCGTTCATTCGTTCGTTCGTTTGTTCGTTCATTCATTCATTCATTCATACATCATTCACTTATTCATTCGTTCGTTCACTCATTCATGCATTCATTCATATATCATTCACTCATTCATTCAACACATTAAAACGCCTCAGAAATAAATCATTCATCCAGCTACATCCATCCATCAAAAACCCACACCACACTCGTCACATCCATCCCTCAAGCCAGATTTAAATTTTTTATAATTCGCCAACATCATTTCTCATGTTTATTTCAAATGTCTGAAGAAGGTTTATTTATTATTTACTAGTCATTTCTTTTCTATTTTCAAAAAGCCATTCATTCATCCATCTTTTTTTTTATTCATTCCATCGTTCTTTCAGTCGTTCTTTTATTCGTTTATTGATCTTTCCGTCTGTTTTTCTGGCGGTTCATCCATCATATGATTTGTCTCCCATCTATGGAATAATTTATTTATTTGTCCATTCATTCAATCATCCATTGACCTATTTTTCTATTATCAATGTAATCTTCATTCGTTCATTCATTTTTTATTCACTCATTCATTCATTTTTTTATTCATTCATTCATTTTCATTCACTCATTCATTCATTTTTTTATTCATTCATTCATCATTCTTTTATTCATTCATTCATTTTTTATTGACCTATTCATTCATTTTTTTTTATTCATTCATTCAATCATTCATTCATTCAACCAGTCATTAAGGTAAGCTACGTGAATAGCTTACATTCCTTACATATAAACCAAAACTTTCAATTATTTTTTATACACAAACCAGGGGTGGACAAACTTTTTTGCTGTGAGGGCCGCATTGAAAACTGTTTGACCTTTGAAGGGCCGCATTTAGAACTAAACAATTCCGTCACTTATTCAATCCTTCATCCAATCATTCATCATTTCATTCATTCACTCATTCATTCATTCCTTCAACTGACCGTATATTGTTCTTTAAAATGAAAAAATCTCTCCAGGTTTTATAGGATGACCACTAGAATTAATCAATCAAACGCATTCATTATCACTTGTCTGTCAATAACTTGACTGATCGATTGGCCGATTAAAAAAAATATTTTAATTAAATTTATCAATCAGCTACTCAATAAATAAGAATTGATTGTCTATTCATTCATTCATTCATTCATTCATTCATTCATTCATTCATTTTTTTAATTCACTTGGGTTTTTTTTTGTTCATTCATTCGTTTGTTTTTTTTTTCATTCGTCCATAATTTATTCAGCCATCCAGATAACCAACCAATCAATCAGCCATAAGCCAATCAATCAGCCAACCAACCAACCAACCAATCAGCTATCTATCCAACCAACTAATTAACAAATCAGTCATTCGGTCATCCAGCCAACCATCCAACTCATACTCACCTAAGGCTATTAATTAATTTCTATTTTGCTGAAAAAAACTTTAAAATTTTTATTTTTAAGAATTATTGGCTCTAGGTAATGTTCTTTTTGTCACCGAGATATCTTCCTTAAAAATTAAGCTTAAAAGGTCATGCGAGCCAGTAAATAGTGCGATAACCACTGGTTTTGATTTTGTTATCTGAAGAACTAAAAGCTTATATAGCAGTATATAGTGTGTGTTTGTGTGTGTGTGAATATGAGTGTCTGTGTGTGTGTGAATATGAGTGTCTGTGTGTGTGTGCCTGTGTGGTTGTTTGTGTGTGTGTGCCTGTGTGGCTGTTTGTGTGTGTGTGAACGAGTAAAAATGTATAGTACAGCCTTAATACGAATGAGTACATCATCATGCTTCCGAGTTGATGTTGAGATAGTTGGTACTGGATGGTTGGTGGTCGTCGTAGTTGGTTGATTGGTGGTTAACTTGTTGTTTCTGTCTTGCTTCGACGGCTCGAGATGACTGGGTTCTATCATCCTACGCTACTATGTTTATTATTAATTAACGATGGTTAATAGTGCGATGTTGGATGTGTAAGTATGGGCGTGTGTTTATGTGTTCAGTGCCTAAATAGTATGCGGTGTAGTGGTTTGTTGATTGTGTATGCTTGTAGGATGTCGTTGTGGTTTTGGATGCATCCATGTAGGATTAGAGTGGTGATGATTTCTTCGTAGAATGAGTTAAGTTGTCTGTTGTATGGTCGAACGATTATGAATTTGTTGTTGTTGTTTTTGTTTCCGGTTTGGAGAATGTTTTCGTTGTTGTTGTTCTGGTTGTTGTTGTTGGCGTCTTGGTTGTTTGTCACCTCTTTTGTAATGCTATTATCAGATTCTGTTGTGCTATTGTTATTGTAAGTGTTGGTATTGTTGGTATTGTTGTTGTTGTGGTTATCTGATTCTGCGGTGTCGTTATTGTTATAGGTGTTGCCATTGGTTGGGTCGTTCTGGTTGGTGAGAATTTCGTTGATGAAGGTGTTGTAGATGGTTTGTTCGTTATCTTCTACATCTTCTTCATTGTCGTATGTGATGTTAGGAGTTTG